AAGTGTCCACGAGTAACACATTTAAGAATAAACACCCATCATGTATCCAGGAAGAAGTATTGTTTAAGGAGGCAAAGAGATTTGCAGATTCCAGACCTTCACGATTATAAATTCAAAAGCAGAGCCTTCAAACAAAAATGCAGAGTCTTGACTGCTTTTCTTAAATATTTAAATGTGTTCTTCAAATTATTCAAGTAGTATATGGCTTTTAAAGGTTTGGTTTGAAAAAACCCACAGTGCCTGGCTTCCAGCACCTTCCCCAATAGTATCCCACATCCAGAGGCCACCACTTTTAACCTTGTCTTGGGGGTTTGACCCCTGTCTTTCTAAACAACGTGTTTGTACTGCTTTTGAACTTCTTTTCCAGTTTTAGATATTAACTTTTAACTGCCCACCAGTTAAAAGCTCCATGCAGACACACATTTTCTCAGATCCTCTGAAAAAGTTTCAGTCCTGGCTGGAAAAAAAAAAAAAAAGGACATGAACGCAGAAGAATTTGTGCTGATTGAGAGCACAGTGATCTGGGCCCCATTCCTAATTGCTGGGCCCGTCGTTTCCATGGATTTCCTATCCTGCTCTCATTAATTCCACGCCTGCTCTCCATCTTCTCAATCTGTTTTTATCCTAGCTTTGCTTCCATTTACATTGTTATAATGACATAAATGTTATTCACAATTGAGCCATGAATTATTTCAGTTATATTTTCTTTCCTGTACAACTTTGGTGCAATTGGGGTTAATAATTGTCTTGTGGTTTTGGGCATAGTTTTCTAAGTTCCTTTCTCAGACCTAGACTCTCAGGCAAGAGTATAAATACACTCTCAGTATTTTCAAACTCATCATGTATTTGATCTGTTTCTTCTTTTTGGAGATTCCCTTCTAGAAACCTCCACTCTATTTATTCATTCATTCATTGATTCAAGAAATGTGTGTGGGTGTCTACTAGGTGCCAGGCCATCTTCTAGGCACTGAATGTGCATGAAAGATAGGATTCTTGCCCTCCTGGAGCTTACATTGGAGTTGGAGGAGATAGAAATAAGCAATAAGCCTAATAAAACATATTATTTTAGATGATGGTACATTGTATGGGAAAAAAAGTGAGCTTGGCAAGATGGATTGGGAGTGCAGGAAGGGGGGGCGCTAATGATATTATGAACAGAGGAGTTGGGAGAGGTGACATTTGAGCAGCCTTGAAGGGATGAGCGGGTCACGGGGAAGCGCATTCCAGGCAGAGGGAATGGTCATGGCAAAGGCTCTGATGTGAGAATGTGCCTAATGTGTTCAGGCCATAGCTAGGAGACAGGAGCTACTGCGGATGAGTGAGGGGAGGACGGTCGAAGAGGACAACACAGAGACGTTGGCAGGCGGCATCTCGCAGGGCCTTGTGGGCCACTGTAAAGGGGAACTTGAACTTGAAAAGGATCACACCATGGTGATTGGTCTGTCAAGAAGAGCACCAGGGGCGACGCAGGGAGACCAGTTAGGAGACCAAGATCCAGGAGGCAGAGAGTGGCGGAGTGGACCAGGTGTTAGCAGGAGAAATGGTGGAAAGCGGCCAGACTCTGAGTAGATTTTGAAGTTACTGTGAGTATGATTTCCTAGGGAAGTGAATGTGAAGAGGAGAGAGGGGGAGAAAGAAAAAGAGGTATCACGGGGAACCCACTTCCTGCTCCAGTCTTTCTGGAGCTTTCGAGGTCATCGACAAGGTTGTCATCCTGAGATCTCTCTTTTTTTCTTCATTGGAAAAAAGCAGAAACTTCATTTAAAAAAAAAAGGAAAAATTGCACATAATTCTGCCACCCAAAGATAACTACTGGTAACATTTTGATGTATGCTTTGCCAGACGTTTTTTTTAAATTGAAATATAGTTGATTTACAATGTGTCAATTTCTGCTGTACGGCAAAGTGATTCACTTATTAATATATATACTTTTTTAAAAGTTTTCTTCATTATGGTTTATCATAAGATACTGAATGCAGTTCACTGTGTGTAGCACCTTGTTGTTTGTCCATTCCCTGAGCTCTCTCTTTATACCATCCCAGGGATTCCTCTTCCCTTGGGTTGGATTCCCCATTTTCTAGGTAGAGTTCATCCTCTGTGACTTCCTTCCTGAGAATGGGCAGATGGGAGATATGTTTGAGATTTTTGTAGGTCTTCAAATGCCCATATTCATTCCACAGTAAAGGGTGAGTATGGGATTCTAGGCTGGTAATCATTTTACCTTGATCTCTGAAGGCCCTGTTTCATGGTCCCCAGTGTCCCATTTCAGAAGATATGAGCCATTCTGATGCTCATTCCTTCCTAAGTGACTTTGTTTTTTCTTCCCTTTAACCCTTGGAATTTTCTTGTTGTGCCCACTGTTCTGAGTTTTCACAGTGGGGCGACTTTAAAAAAAATCCCTGTTGCTGGGTACTCAGTGGATTCTTTCAAACTAGAAACATGGTGTCGTTCAGCTCTAGAGTGTCTCTCTTCTTAGTTTTCTCTGTTCTCTCTTTCTGGAACTCTTACTCAGATGGTGGCTCTCCTGACAGCTTCTCTCTGAACACCGTCAGGGAGGTTCCTAGTTCGGATTCTCCAGAAGAAAACAGAATCTGCCCAACCGGTTCATCTAGTTGAGACAAGACAAATTGGTCATGAATTGCTAACCAGCCAATGAATCAGTTTCCCTCAGCTTCACTCATCTGAGCAGCTTGGGGTCACATGACCACAGCTGCCACTCCTAAGAGTTCTATAAGCAGGAGGATAGGCATTTGGGAACAGGCTTTTGTCACTAAGATAGAGCTAATTGCAAATATTCTTTGCTGTCATATCTTATGTCAAGTAATAGATTCTGGGCTGGAAAATATGGTTTTATAGATATATATAATATTATATATATTAAAATATATATGTATAGTTTAAATATATTATAAATATATATTATTCCCCTAGTAAATTGTAAAAATATTTTAAATATGATATACCTTTCTCTTTAGATGTACATTCCAGATGGATCAAAGATATAAGTGAAGAAAGAGAAAGAGAGAGAAAGGAAGGAAGGGAGGAAGGAAGGAAGGGAGGAAAGAAAGAAGAGCATAAATATACCAGAGGAAAACATGGATGAATATTTTTCAAACCATGGTGTTGGAAAGGTTTGAATGAGAACAGAGACCATAAGGCAAAGAATGACAAATTTAACTACATAAACACTGTAAACTTTTATGTTGAAAAAAATTCCATAAAAATGTAGAAAAATAACTAGAGGAAATTTTGCAACAGTGGACAAGCATTTAGTTTCCTTAAGATATGAAGAGTGCTCACAGATCAATCAGGAAGATTTCGTAGAGGAATTGATAAAGCAAGATAGGCATTTCATCAAAGAGGAAATATATAGCGTCAGTACAATTGTGAAAAGAAATTCAGCGTCATACTAATAAGAGAAATGTAATGGGAAAGCAACACTGTTTCTGTTGCCGAAGATTAAAATGGGTGATAAAAATGTCTTGGCAAAGGGGGAGACAGGCCCTCTGTTTAATGTTGGTGGAATGTGAGTTGGTGTATAATTTTTAGAAAAATAATTTAACCCTTATATACTATGTCAAAATGCAAAACGTTCAGCCCTCTTATTCAGCAATTACACTTCTAGGGATTTGGGGTAAGAAATAATTACCCAAGTGTGAAAATATATGCATGTAGATGGTCAACCCTAGGGTGTTTACGAGAGTGAGAAAATGAAAATGATTCAAATTGATATCAAGTAAGGATTGAAAGGGGAAAAGTTGGTACATAAAAATAATAGAATCCTATGTGGTCATTAGAAGTGATGACGTCAATCCATATTTACCGGCATGGAAAGACATCTACCATACATGGTGGGGCGAACAAAGCAGTTTATAAGGTACAAGTTTAGAATGATCCTATTAATATATATCTAGGTGAATTTCAGTGAAGCTAAGGGTGTCTAGAATGTACGTTCCCCCGAGGACAAGGCCTTCATGGTCTTCACTGCTGTGTTCCCAGTGCCTCAAACTGTGCCTGGTACTTTGCAGCCGTGCAATGATGTTTGCTGAATGAATGAACGAATGAAAGCGGTTTACAGAGTTCTTCACCAAAAGTTTAACATGAAGGAGTGCTGGTAATTTTTTCTGTGCTCTCTACATTTTCTCTGTCTTTTGAGTTGCCTTCAAAATGTTTACTTTTACCAAAACAGATGCGCTATTAAAAACCTATGGTAATGCCTTCTGCTGGTGAGAACGTGGCAGTCCCAAATGTTTCAGTGACTGTGTAAACTGGTTTAACTCTTTCTGAAAACCACTGGATATTCAATATTTGAAAATCACAAAGGGTTCCTTCCTTGTGCCTATTAATCCTGCCTGGGTATTTATGCTCAGGAAAAAAAAAAACGTAAAATATGAAATGCTGTGTACATCCCAAGGTGTTCATCTTGGTTTTTATATTAGGAAAATAACAACCCTGGACAACCTAAAGGCACTTCTAACGGAGGGAAGAGTAAAAGTAAATTATGAAAATCCACTAGGTGGAATTTCCTGTAACCATTACCAGTTCTGAAGACTCTGTAGCAACATGAACAAAGAGAGGCTGAAAACACAGGCACGCAACGACTTAAATTCTGCGTAAACAAAGTAATGGTGCTTTGGTATTAAGAGTGTGGAATTCTGGGAGCCGTTTTCTGAGAAGAGCGGAAAGAACATGAGCTTTCGAGCTGCAGACAGAGGTTTTTATTCAGGCGTAGCTGTTGCATAACCTTGGCTGGTCATATTCCCTAACTTCTTTGTGCTTCATTTTTCTTATCTACAAGATGGGCTAATAGTACTACTTCCTAATACTGGGAGAATTCAAATGAGATGCACATAAAAGTAAAAGCCATCACAGATATAGAGAACAAACTAATGGTTACCAGTGGGGAGAGGGAAATCCAACCTTGGAGTTGGGCACCACCCACTCTGGGACTCTCGTGGCTGAGAGCGAGGGAAAGCCACCGGCGACCACACGAGGGCGCCCGCATTCGGGATGGGTGAGGCATTCCCGGGCCTGTCCAGCAGGAGACGCTATGGGCGGAGAGGGACCCTGGACCGGAAGCCGGGCTGGAGGCTTCCGGGCGCAGTCGCGGACTCCTTCCACTTCCGCCGCCGCCGCCGCCGCCGCCGCGGGACCGGGCTGAGTTGCCGTTTGTTCCGAGCCGCTACCCTCGCCGTCGCGATGCCGCTGGAGAACCTGGAAGAGGAGGGTCTGCCCAAGAATCCGGACCTACGCATCGCGCAGCTGCGCTTCCTGCTCAGCCTGCCGGAGCACCGCGGGGACGCGGCCGTGCGCGACGAGCTGATGGCAGCCGTCCGCGATAACAGTGAGGCCGGCGCGAGAGCCGAGTCAGCGGCCTAGGCCTGGGCGGCCCCGCGCTCCCGAGCCTGCGGGGTTTTCCACAGCGGGGCTCGCGACCCCGGGGCGCCCCTGCTACGGGGTCCCCGAGACCAGACCTGGCCTTTGCGCCCCTCGGGGCTTTCCTTTTGTCGGGGGCGCCTTCTGGGACCTCCAGCTTTGCCCTCAGAGGTTTGCATCTCTGTGCGCCTCCCCCCCTGGGGCCAGCCTCGGGGCGGGGGGCGGGCGGATCCCGAGGTATTGAGCCCCGTGCCAGGCACGGAAGAGAGACATGACTTACTGTCATTAGCGACTGGTCTCGGGGACTTCAGCATTGCGGGTGGAGGGGAAACTTGGGTCGGTTCCTTTCGCCCTTCCTAGCAGTGAATGGCAGCGGGCCCTGTACCCTTGTACGCACGGGTCTGAGTGTGTGTGTGTGTGTGTGTAAACAAGCTTAGCCTTTCCCTTGTTGGAAGACTCTGTGGGAACAGAAGCCGCCGAGAGGCTAACCGAGGTTGTCCGCCCCCCGGCCCTAGTAGAGGGCGGCGGTGACAGGCCTGGCCCTGATGCTGACCGCCCAGCCCTTTACCATGCTCTGTCCCATTCCTTTCTCCTGGCAGGTAGGCGACTGGTGGATGACCTCGCAGTCGTGTACGAGGAAGGAGTGGGTAGACACTGAGGTTAGGGCAGGACGGGGCCTCACTCCTAAGCCACATCCCTCTTGTTCGCTCTCAGACATGGCTCCTTATTACGAAGCCTTGTGCAAATCCCTTGAGTGGCAGATGGACGTGGACCTGCTCAGTAAAATGAAGAAGGCAAATGAAGACGAGTTGAAACGTCTGGACGAGGAGCTGGAAGATGCGGAGAAGAATCTGGGCGAGAGCGAAATCCGAGACGCGATGATGGCAAAGGCCGAGTACCTCTGCCGGATAGGTGACAAGGTGAGTGAGATGGCCTCCCCTCTCTGTAGAGCCTGAAATGGGCACTGTGCAAGGTTAGTAATGTCTCATTTTAAAAGCTAACGTCCTTTTCCACCAAGTGCAGAGGTAACCTGCTTGCCTGAACTAGTGAATCAGTGCAAAAAGTTAATAAAGAAAAAGTTAGTAGTCTTCTTGGTACACCCATTCTGTCACCTGCCCCCAGACAGCCACCGGTGTGTAGTCTTCCCCCTCTCTCTCTATGCCAATAAAACAAAGTGCCTGTTCGGAGGTGTTTGTTTATTTATTGTTTTTACAAAATTGGGATCATTCTCAGTAGTTCACTTTTGTAACGTATCCTGGTTGGGAAGCATTGGTTCTGGTGCATTTTGAAAATTATTGTTTACACAGGTAATCGTCTCCTTGTAAGAAACTAAAATATTACAGTTAATGCTGAAGTTCTATTTGGTTTTTCTTTATTCTCTATCTCCTCAGATGATCTTTTAAATTCTTTTATTGTACATTTCCAGGCATGTGTATGTACTTGTAGAAATTAGGTAGTATTGGTTTAAAAAGTTTGTTTTACATCGGTGGAATCGTAGTGTACTCACGTTGTCCCGTTTGCTTTTTCATTCAGCATTATATCTGAGTGACTTCCCGTGTTAATGTGCCTAAATCTTGCTCATTCTGGTTGACTGCTAGCTAGTAGTCCATGGTACGGCTATGCTGTAGTTACTTAGCTATTCAGTGGTTGGGTATGTGTGTTGTTTTCAGCTCTTTCTGCTAGGACAAGCCACTGCTGTGTAAACATGCCTGTGTGTGCGCCTCTTTGTGTATATATGCTTATGTTTCTCTAAGGTGTATTCTGTGAGATGAAATCTCTGGGACGAAGAACAGTTTTTATCTTAGTATGTGTGGCCTGTTCTCCTGCACAGCAGCCAACCTAATTTATACTCCACTATCAGGGCACAAGAGGGATACCCACAAGCATTGGATCTTTTAAATTTTTTAACTTAGTGGTTCTGTAATAGTGGTTAAGAGGATGGGCTTTGAATGTCCGAATTTTAAGCAGTGCACCCTGAAGTATTTACATAATGGATGACACGGTGTCAATATAAAAAAATTAAATAGTGTGAGCTCTTGGATAAGATTGCTTGGGTTGTATTTCTGACTTCAGTAATTATGATTTACTCCTCTGTATGAGTTTTCTCATCTGTTAAATAGGGATAATGATAGTGCCTAGGAGCAAAGAGCTTAGACTAGTTCCTGCTGCAAAGTGCTGAAATGTTAAATGGTGCGAGCTATTATTATTTAGTTCAAATGTAAAACAAGTTTTTTTCTTCTGATTATAAATTTAGGGTTTGGAAAAAAAGCAGCTTTGGTCATTGTAAAAAGTTGGAAAATACAGAACAGTTTAAAAATAGCTAATAGTTTGTGTGGCTTTCTAGGCTGCGTGTGGTTTGCTTTGGTTTGGTTTTAAAGAGGATGAATTATTACACGTGAATGAGAAATTTAAAGCTTTTGATTCAGGCCTTAAGGAATTTCAACAAGGATATGTTTGAATCAACATCAGGGGGTTGTAAATCGGTGACGTTCTAATAATATGTTCCATATTTGTTAAACAGCATGCTTCTAAAAAGAAGAGTTGTCTTTTTTCCCTCCCGTTTACTTTCTTGCTTTAATATTTTATTTTGTGTACTATTACTAAATAATGGACTTAGTGGATTTTTATTATTCACTGTGGTGTATTGATTACAGTCATTATTCTTTCCGGTGCTCAGTTTGTTACAAGTTTGTTAGTGCAGGTTCCTTCAAGATGGTTTCTTGGTCCTTTTGACATGATCTCCTTGGTCTTCCTTATAACAAGATGTCACAGGCTCACCTGTTATTTTCACTCTGCAAACCTGGAATCATCCATTTCTCCTAGGATCCCTGGTTTCTTTTATTGGGGGATAGTATTTAAAAACCGAGATCTTAGTACTGGGTGTGCCCATTACTGTTTTGCCAGTCTCTTTTTAGAAATGTATGAGGCATAACTAATAATTACGTAAAACGAAGCCAGACACATACTAAAAGGTACCAAGTATAAACAAATGATTTTATTCATGTTCATTTTTTTGATTTTGTTTTTGGGGGTTGTTTGTTTTTGTTTTGTTTTGGGGTTTTTTTTTTTTTTGCTGATGGTGGTGGTGGTAGTTTTTCTTGCTGTTTTTTGGCCAGGCCACGTGGCATGTGGGATCTTAGTTCCCCAACCAGGGATCAAACCGCATCCCCTGCAGTGGAATCTCAGTGTCTTAACCACTGGACTGCCAGGGAAGTCCCACATGTTCATGTTTAAAAAGCAATAAAAACATTTTATTCCACAATGATTTGAGATAGAATTGTATATTTAAATACTCAATTGTGTTCTGGTAGTCAGTGATTAAGATAAAATATTTATTACCCTTTAGGTGATAAGACTGACAGTTTACAGTAATTTTACAGTAGTGTATTGTAATTGTTAAAGGAAAAAATATAGAACAAAGAAGAATACTGAAATAATGGTGAATAAATTATGAATGTGTTTCTTCCATTGTTTTCTAGAATATAAGTATATGCTTAGACACAGTTGATGTGTTTTTTATAAAAGTGGAGAGAATCGTATAAGGAGCCCCATGCAATTATCCCCCGGCTTTAACAAGTATCAGCTCATGGCCATACTGTTCTCTCTCTACTCCTACATGTTTCCCCAACTCCTTGCTAAGAAAATCCTAGAGAGCTGTTAGCTTTTGAAACTTTTAACCTTTTCTCACCTGTTGCCTTGGTTCTCTTGACAGGAGGGTGCTCTGACAGCCTTTCGCAAGACATATGACAAAACCGTGGCCCTGGGTCACCGACTGGATATTGTGTTCTATCTCCTTAGAATTGGCTTATTTTACATGGATAATGACCTCATCACACGGAACACAGAAAAGGCCAGAAGGTAAATTTTATTTTTTCATTTTTTTAGTGTTTTATTTATTTATTTTTTGGCTGTGTCGGGTCTTAGTTGCGGCCACGGGATCTTTGTTGAAGCACGCAGGACCTTTCTGTTGTGGCGTGCTGGCTCTTTGTTGTGGTGTGTGGGCTTCTCTCTAGTTGTGGCATGCGGGTTTTCTCTTCTCTAGCTGTGGTGTGCAGGCTCCAGGGCGCATGGGCTCTCTAGTTGAGGCGCGCGAGCTCAGTAGTTGCGGCGCGCGGGCTTAGTTGCCACACGGCATGTGGGATCTCAGTTCCCTGACCAGGGATGGAACCCGCGTCTCTTGCATTGTAAGGTGGATTCTTTACCATTGGACCACCAGGGAAGTCCCCAGAAGGTGCGTTTTAGCAGTGGGGATTTATTCCCTCTAAATTATGATGCTACAGATAAGAAATTGATGTAAGAAATTTACCTATTTTCTTTTGTTTCCAACTGGTAAATTTGGTCAAATAATTAATGTTCTTACTTACAGAAATGTTCTCCTTAAATTTTTCTTTTTGGTTTAAGTTGTTAAAAGCTGTTTTCTCTTTCATAATAACACAAAACTTGTAAAAAGTGGCACTGTTTATTTTCAGATCATCACCTTACTGTTTTGTATTTTATAGCTTGATAGAGGAAGGAGGAGACTGGGACCGGAGAAACCGCCTAAAAGTATATCAAGGTCTTTATTGTGTGGCTATTCGTGATTTCAAACAGGCAGCTGAACTCTTCCTTGACACTGTTTCAACATTTACATCCTATGAACTCATGGATTATAAAACCTTTGTGACTTACACTGTCTATGTCAGCATGATTGCTTTAGAAAGACCAGATCTCAGGGAAAAGGTAATGACTGGATCATATTTAAAGAATGCCCCTTGAATACACGAAACTACACCTTAAATACACAAAAATCATTAAAGCACATATTTGTTTTTAAAAAAATTTTCTAGGTAATTAAAGGAGCAGAGATTCTGGAAGTGTTGCACAGTCTTCCGGCAGTTCGGCAGTACCTGTTTTCACTCTATGAATGCCGTTACTCAGCTTTCTTCCAGTCATTAGGTAAGGATAGAGTTGCTCGTTTTGACTGTCTTCATCTTATTCCTGACCCTGTTTGCAGATAACCTAAGATGATTTTTCACATATATGAAAAATATAGTGTGCAGACAGCTGTAGGTCTTTGGTCAGTACAGCTAATCGTTTGCCCATCTTGTTTATAGGGGGGTTAGCAGACTTTGATCAAGTGCTTTTGTGTGGTCCAGGAGGTAAGACTGATGTTTACATTTTTTAAGGATCGTTTAAGAAAACAGGACAAAGAAAACTACATGACAGCTCTATGGCTCTCAGCGGCTAAAAATATCAACCATCTGGCCCTTTGCCGAGGAAGTTTGCCTGACCCCTGCTTTAGAGTCTTACTGGGATGTAAGGCAGAAAGTGAGCAAATGGTTCGAAGTACTGAGTTTTAGAATTGAGATCTTGAATCTCCGTTTGATTGAGTTGATGTTAATTGAGTTGAATTCAACAATGGGTTATTTATGCAACAGCTAAATCTTTGTGCCGATTTGCAAATCATTTTCAAGGGATGTTGGTTGAGAAAATCTGTTGAAAGTGCTTGTGGTGTTCAACCCAGGGGTCCTTCCCAGATGATTTTCCTAAAACTTAAATAACTTGGCATTGATAATTCTCTTGTTTGTGCTGCAAGTTTCAGGAAGTATTTGGTTAATAAGTAGGTAGAATTTACAAAACATGGGTTAGGAGGACTCCAAATGATGGTCTTCTGTGTTTGGAGTAGGTTTTGGCCCAGTGTTTATGGAGTGCTTTCTGCATGAAGTTAGGCTGCTTTATGGGAATTCATACTACTCCCGTCATGCAGCGTGGGAACAGGGCTCCTCAAGTGTGAATGACCTGCATGGCCCTGTCTTCCCATATGTGCACGATGGGTGGGTTTGCACCCAAGGTTGTACTGCAGAATCGCCCTTCTCCCTTTTTTCTGCGTGTGGATCTCGTCATTATTCTGCTCAAATGTGGCGCTTTTCCCTTCTTCCTTCAGTCCAAAAATTTTAAAAATCCCTTCTCTGCATTCCTAGTCTTATTTTATGCCCCATCCTCTTTTTTTATTGAGATGTCAATCACTATAAAATTCAGTATTTTAAAGTATGTAATTTCAGTGGTTTTAGTATATTGACAAGGTGTGCAGCCACACCAGTAATTCCAGAACATCTTCATCACCCCAAAAGATGTTCTGTACCCATTAGCAGTCACTTCCCGTTCCTGGTTCCAGCCCCTAGTCTTTCTGTCTCCATGGATTTGCTTATTCTGGACATTGCATATGAATGGAATTACACAATATGTGGCCTCTTGTGCCTAGCTGCTTTTGCCCAGCATAATGCTTTTACTGTCATCCATGCTGTAGCACATATCAGTGCTTCATTCAGTTTAGAGCTGAATGATAACACCATTGCATGGATATACGACATTTTATTTATCCGTTCATCAGATGACGGATACATTATAAATGACGCTGTAATGAATGTTTATGTACAAGTTTTTGTGTGGACACAATGTCTAGTTTCTCCTGGGGATATACCTAGTAATGGAATTGGTGTGTCATATGGTAACTCTTTGATTAACTTTTTGAGAAGCTGCTGAACTGTTCTCCAAAGCAGCTACGCAATTTTACATTCCCACCAGCAGTGTGTGAGAGTTCCAGTTTCCCCACATCTAATACTGGTTATCGTGTGTCTTTTTGTGTTTTTTTTTTTTGCGGTACACGGGCCTCTCACTGTTGTAGGCCTCTCCCGTTGCGGAGCACAGGCTCCGGACGCGCAGGCCCAGCGGCCACGGCTCACAGGCCCAGCCGCTCCGCGGCATGTGGAATCTTCCCAGACCAGGGCACGAACCCGTGTTCCCTGCATCAGCAGGCGGACTCTCAACCACTGCGCCACCAGGGAAGCCCCCGTGTGTCTTTTTGATCATAGGCATCTTAGTGGGTGTGAAGTGGTATCTTACGGTTCTGATTTGTATTTCTCTGATGACTAGTGATGCTGCATATTTTGTCATGTGCTTATTGGTCAAATGACCTATTTTTACTTACTTATTTTTTTTTTTAATCTTTATTTTTTGGCCACACCGCGTGGCTTTCAGGATCTTAGTTCCCCAACCAGGGATTGAACCCACACCCTTGGCAGTGAAAGTGCAGAGTCCTAACCACTGGGCCGCTAGGGAATTCCCTGCCCCATTTTTTAAACAGCAAATTATTTTGTGATTCTTTTTTAGAGTTTTTCTCTACTGCTACTTGGGATAATTAAGAGTAGACCTTACGCTTTTTTCCTTTGTAGTGATCTTGACACCAGCACAGTGCCCGTACGTTATTGAGTGCTCTGTGTAACTGTAATTTAAGAGAAAAATGGGGGGAAGTGCTATCCTAGTGTGATGAAATTGATGGCTTTTGGAAACTTTTGAATGGTTAAGGTAACCTTCCCATCTTCCCCATCCCTACTGGCAACCTTTTAAAATTTACTCATTTCCCAGATAGTTTTTTATTTTTATTTTTAAAAAATATTTTAATTTCATTGGAGTATAGTTGATTTACAGTGTGTCAGTTTCAGGTGTACAGGAAAGTGATTCAGTTATACATACACATATATTCATTCTTTTTTAGATTCTTTTCTCATATAGGTTATCACAGAATATTAAGTAGAGTTCCCTGTGCTATACAGTAGGTCTTTGTTGGTTATCTATCTTATATATAGTAGTGTGTGTATGTTCAACCCGAGCTCCTGATTTATCCCTCCCCCTCCCGTTTCCCCTTTGGTAACCGTAAGTTTATTTTTGATATCTGTAAGTCTGTTTCTGTCTTGTAAGTAAGTTCACTTGTATCTTTTTTTTTTTTTTTGCGGTACACGGGCCTCTCACTGTTGTGGCCTCTCCCGTTGCGGAGCACAGGCTCCGGACGCGCAGGCTCAGCGGCCATGGCTCACCGGGCCCAGCCGCTCCGCGGCATGTGGGATCTTCCCGGACCGGGGCACGAACCCGTGTCCCCTGCATCAGCAGGCGGACTCTCAACCACTGCGCCACCAGGGAAGCCCTGTATCTTTTTTTTTAAATTAGATACCACGTATGAGTGATACCATATATTTATGTTTCTCTGTCTGACTTATTTCACTTAGTATGATAATCTGTAGGTCCATCCGTGCTGCTGCAGATGGTATTATCTCATTCTTTTTTTGTGGCTGAGTAATACTCCACTGTATATGTGTACCACACCTTCATTATCCATTCCTTTGTCAGTGGACATTTAGGTTGCTTCCATGTGTTAGCTGTTTTAAATAGTGCTGCAGTGAACATTGGGTTGCATGTAACTTTTCGGATTATGGTTTTCTCTGGATATATGCCCAGGAGTGGGATTGCTGGATCATATCGTAGTTCTATACTTAGTTTTTAAAAGATCCTCCATATTGTTCTCCATAGTGGTTGCACCAATTTACATTCCCACCAACAGTGTAGGAGGGTTCCCTTTTCTCCACACCCTCTCCAGCATTTATTGTTTGTAGACATTTTGATGATGGCCATTCTGACCCTTGTGAGGTGATACCTCATTGTAGTTTTGCTTTGCACTTTTCTGATAATTACTGATGTTGAGCATCTTTTCATGTGCTTTTTGGCCATCTGTATGTCTTCTTTGGAGAAATGTTGATTTAGATCTTCTGCTCATTTTTATTTTAATTTTTTTGGCTGCAGTGGGTCTTTGTTGCTGCGTGTGGGCTTTCCTCTGATTGCGGCGAGCAGGCTTCTCATTGCGGTGGCTTCTGTTGTTGAGGAGCACAGGCTCTAGGCACATGGGCTCAGTAGTTGTGGCCCGCAGGCTCTAGAGCACAGGCTCAGCAGTTATAGTGCACAGACTTAGTTGCTCCATGGCATGTGGAATCTTCCTGGGCCAGGGCTCGAACCCATGCCCCCTGCATTGGCAGGCGGATTCTTAACCACTGCACCACCAGGGAAGCCCTGCCCATTTTTTGACTGCATTGTTTGTTTGTTTGTTTTTGACATAGAGCTGTGTGAGCTGTTTGTGTACTTTGGAGATTAATCCCTCGTAGGTTGCTTCATTTGCAAATATTTTCTCCCATTCTGTGGGTTGTCTTTTCCTTCTGTTTATGGTTTCCTTTGTTGTACAGAAGATTTTAAGTTTAATTAGGCCCCATTTGTTTATTCTTATTTTTATTTTCATTACTCTAGGAGGTGATCAAAAAAGATATTGCTGTGATTTATGTCAAAGAGTGGTTTGCCTATGCTTTCCTCTGAGAGTTTTATAGTGTCCAGCCTTACATTTAGGTCTTTGATCCATTTCAGGTTTATTTTTGTGTATGGTGTTAGAGAATGTTCTAATTTCTTTTACATGTAGCTGTCCGGCACCACTTATTGAAGAGACTGTTTTTTCTCCATTGTATATTCTTGCCTTCTTTGTTGTAGATTAATTGACCATAAGTGCCTGAGTTTTTATTTCTGAGCTTTCTATCCTGCTCTGTTGATCTATATGTCTGTTTTTGTGCCAAGTACCATATTGTCTTGATGACTGTAGCTTTGTAGCATAGTTTGAAATCAGAGGGTTTGATTCCTCCAGCTCCGTTTTTGTTTCTCAGGATTGCTCAGGGTCTTTTGTGTCTCCATATAAAAGTAAAAAAAATTTTTGTTCTAGTTCTGTGAAAAATGCCATTTGTAATTTGATAGGGATTGCACTGAATCTGTAGATTGCCTTGGGTAGTACAGTCATTTTGACAATATTGATTCTTCCAATCCAAGAACATGGTATATATCCTTCCATCTGTTTGTGTCATCTTCAGTTTCTTTCTTCAGGGTCTTAACAGTTTTCAGAGTACAGGTCTTTTGTCTCCTTTGGTAGGTTTATTCCTAGGTGTTTTGTTCTTTTTGATGTGATGGAAAATGGGATTGTTTCCTTAATTTTTCTTTCTGATCTTTTGTTGTTAGTATATAGGAATGCAAAGGATTTCTGTGTATTAATTTTGTATCCTGCAACTTTACTGAATTCATTGATGAGCTCTAGT